TCTCAATATTTGCTTAATAAAAATGCATTGGTAGCCTGACATTGTATCCACGGTGTAGCAATTACTTTTCAACGGTCAGCATTTGCTGACAGATAACATCGCGGCACCCGCTATAGTAGCGCGTGTTTAGGGGGCCGTGAAAACCTGACCGTGAGACCTGACGGCATCCTGCAGGCTGACCTTCTGGACCGCTCCATCCAGCCGTCAATGAGTAGCTGCATAAGTGCCGTTTCGGAACTCAATCTGACGTTTCTGGCACATTATTCAGTGTCTGGTTTTCTGTCTGCGCGGCTGCGGAGACTGCCGCTGAAATGCTTAACCTAAATATGAAGATATAAAGGATGCACTTCTTGAAAACGTTCGTTGTCTTGATCATCTCTTGCGCACTGTTCAATATGCAAGTCAACCCTGGTGGACATAAACCCATATCCAGCATGTTCCGACACTGGTGTGCTTTCAGGTGAAATCTTTTGGTTTGTGTTTCAGAGATATCTGGTCACGTGTGGTGCTCAGCCCTGATGGCAAGACATGCCATTCTCTGTCCCTGGATACACTGTTCGATAAGAACTCGAACAACATGTCAAGCTTCCGGGTGGAGTTCTCGTTGGATACAAGTGCGTTGGACGATTTTTCGTTCAAGGTGAGTCTTGGTTTGGTCTACATCCCATGTCGTGTCCCATGTCCGTGTGTAGAAACGTGTTCTGTTCAAATGTCAAGGAAACGGTGGGGGCCTCTACACGAAAATGTTCAGCTAGGTCATTCATTAATTACTTAGTAAGCTAGCAAAGGATATCTTGTTCCCAAGATTGCCTAGTCATAGTGGCTCTGAATTGTCAATAAGATGTGATGCGCTGAGTATTGCAAAAAATATTCGGAGTTCGAAACTCCGCCTCACTCGTCTCTATTGAGCCACTCATTGTGATACGAATGCCATGGCATTGTATATGCTTTACCTTGAATATGTACGACACTTGATGCGTAATCTTTCGGAACAACTTTTGCTTATTTTACTGCTTGATGTTAGACCAGATCAGCCACATATTGGGTCATGATGCTTCTTCCACCGAATCTATATGAAATCGACCAAAAATCGTCCGTAGTATCATTTGCCAACAACTGAACGGCCCGTTAAGTCATAATGCTACGTTCTTATTATTGACATAATTTTTCGACTTCTGGAGAAAGAGTGTGTAAAGGATAGAGAGGGGAGGAGGGAGCGAGGAAGAGGTGATTTACTTTTTTGAAACAAGGAATAGTTTTTGCACGCTAGTTATTCCCAGAATGGCTATCGACAAAACGCCATCTGGCCAACATCATGCAATCAGGCCTGTGTTGCCGTGTCGGCGCAAGTGTTTTTGTTATCCCCAGTGTTTTTGTTATCTTGTTGACACATCTGTTCATAGACTGTCCTTAAATTGTGTAAATGAGAACAACAAAAAAAAAAGAATAGAGAAAGAATGGCTGTGACAAAATCAATTGTATGATTGTAGCAAAAAGTTACCGTGTGCCCGAGCAGGAACACATGTCACGAGGATCAGATGGTCGCTGCAAAAGACAAAGATGATGGCAATATGGAAACCATCTTCCGGCTATGGCACCTGTAGACATCCGATACCCTGTTCTCACATTTTTTATGCCGAATTCTTGTGTGTTATCGCATTTCCTTGGTTCCTGTATGCTGGTAACGATCTGGCAATGATCAAATGTACCCAATTGGGAATAAAACTGGACATTGCCTCATTGGTGATTTCTCATATTTCTCTTCCTCAAAGTGTTGTCTTGCCGCGCTCCATGTGTGCACTAGAATTAGGTGATTTTATTGTTTCTCGTACCTTGATTTTTCTGAGTTATTACACTCGGCTCCCTCTCGTTCAAAAACCCAAAGAAATAAAAAAATAACACCATAAAGCTATGATGATAATATCAAGAACATTCGTGTCGATCTCCTGATTGCTGTGCGTGGTAGCAAATTACTTCTCTCCAAGATCTCGTACTCAATCCGGATGTACTCGCAACAATGTTGATTTAAACTGCTTGAAACAAGGAGGGATCTTAATGGCGCTTTCCAAACGCCCAATCATATTTTGAAGCACTACAAACACCGCTTACCTTCGTGGAAACGGACAAAGCCGGCTGGCAGGTAAGTTTGGATTTTCGGGACGCTTGCACGATTCGATTCCCGTGAAGATTGACAGCTACGTGAAGACGTAACGGGTCTCAAGCTAATCCTGGAAATGTGCGTGGCGATTTGGGGGAGGGGGGGGGGGCAACAGCGGCATTTTAAATTCGGCGTTTTAAATCAAGACTATGCCATTCGAGGTCGTTTTAAAGTCCTCGTGGCCAAATAAAACACGTGATCAAATCCTCTCCAGATCAGCCGCTCAACAAGTCACTCAGTGAAATGATTAAGCCGACCTGGTGACCTTAAGTCGAGCCCATTTTCTCCCTAACTGGAAAAGATCCAGCTTAGCTTTAATGCGTTAATCAGCTGTGGATTTAAGACATGTGGCCTAGTGCTCCTGCGAGGCGCGTTCCCTTGGCGGGGTATTCTACAAAGTTCTGACCTTTCCACGAAGGGTGTACAGATAGAGCTTGGAGAAAGCTGCGTATATGCCGGGGTTTCAAAGCTTCAAATATTTCTTTGTAGAGGCAAAAGCCAAGGGCAAAGAATGTTAAACAGAGCATCAGCGTATTTGGAAAGGCAGTTGCGATGGAGGGATGTTCATTAAATTTTCACCACGGCCAGGTGCAGTGCGTGATATATTCGTATGCATACAGCTATTCCGAACCTTGCTCTCCTTTTGTGTCATTCGAGGACATGTCAGAACTTTGTAGGATGTCCAGCCGCCTTGTTTCACTGCAGACTGAGAGGTCTTAAGCGTCGACACGTGGCTGAGGCCCGAGCCTTTCGTGCGCGCTTCTGCAGAGACCTTGTCACGCTTGAGGTGCCTGCGACCATTCAAGCGGCCTCTGTGGGCATGTGCATTGACCTGCCTTTGAACTCCTTCCATTCATGGGGACGCTAATGCTGCAGCCAGTGAAGGGCCTTCACTGGCCGCTTCACTTCACTGAGGCCGTGAAGGCCCTTCAGAGACGCCCGTACGCGGTCCGAGCGTCTTTTGTCAGGAGCAGACCCGCCAGCGCCCGGGCGGACGTGGCCCTGCTGTGCCACTTGACCCATGGCAATCACCCCCTGCGCACGTTTCACAGGCGGGATCCCGGTCCGTATTGTGGCATGGTGTGCGGCCTTTCGGCTGCGGCGCTGGCGCTTTGAAGCGCCTTTGGTCGCGTGATGACCCCGTAGGCTTGCGGACTCTGTGATGGTCTTGTGGTCGTCGGCAGCGGTTCGATTCGGTTGGAGAAATGCGACTCTCCTGTCGTTCGCTGGCACGACACAGCGGCCATGGACGCGGGTTATGCACTTTGGTTGCGACAAATGGCTATTTTCGGGTCCTTTGAAAGGTTGATAGATCTGACAGTGCCCACTGATCGTAAGCCTTTGTAAACATTTGCGATACGACGCGATTCCACTTTCTATGCGCACAAAAGTAATTTAAGTGACCACCGTGACTGTTGTTTCAGACCGGCGCAAAGGTCAGCCTTACAATGCTACCATAGTTTAGCCACTCGGATGCAAATTCTGTGCGCCCGTGTTTGCAGATATCTAATATTAAGCTGTTCTCTTACTTTGCCCGTGCCGAAAGGCGCATACAGTTGGAGCTGAGTCGGCGGGTGAGGGTAGCGCAGCAATGCGCCGAGCGCTTCGCTTCACTTGTGTACGACACAAGCGTGTAACGCTGTGCCTGGAGCGGACTGGGAAACACCCAGACTAGCTTGGGCGATTCGGCAATGCATTATTCTGAAATTGCTTCAAACTACTTTATTTTTTGCCGCTCATGTTTGTATATGTCAAGGCTTACACTTGATTAAATACAAGTGCAACTTGCTACTAAAACACTTGCCACTAAAACATCGAGAAGAAATATTTGGCTCGCACGATGCGTGTAGGTATTCACAAACACTGCTTATCGCTATTGGCATATGTGCTCAGGGATTATTAGCGTAAGTTAACCATCCCACCGGGTAATATGGGCCGGATTTTGGGACGCCTAAGCGCTTCTATCACACACAGGTCTCAATATATTTTATTAACATACAGTGTTAATTAGATTTGCCTGTTGAAAATTTAGCAGCATTCGCAAACTTCCTTGTTACGAGCCAAGTATTTGTTACAGAAAATACAAACATCTGTGGCACATACAACGACGTTTTGGTACAGACGTAAGCGTATTTAAATAAAATGTGATGCTTTTTCTCTCGATCTTGTGATCCTTCTTTGCTGGTTTGTTTTTCCGAAGTTAAATAACTGACAGATGACAAAATGACTGACATCAAAATGTTAACTCATTCTTACTACCTCACCAGTCGGAAAACATTCCTAAGCATGCAAAGTTATTTATTTTCGTTGACTCAATAAATATAAATATCATTTGCTTCTATTGTATCATGCCCATGGCATCAAATCACAAAAAATGACTTATGCAGCATATCCCAGCGCCAGATGGCGCCATGCGTATCGGGGCATCATAGTACCTGTGTACCCGAGCGTCCTGCTCACAAGTCATGCTCAGGTTGAGTCCCCACTGAGTGAAGCAGGGGATGGGGATGCTTCGTCGTAAACGAGGGGGTTGTGTCTCGCCCCATTCGTTCCGGCGGGAAAGCCAGATCCTTCGAAACGGCCGGTCATAGATCACATATCATAGACCATAAATCATAGATCACCGCGCGACTATATTTATAACTACATCCGGGACCCAATCCTCTGCCACGAAAGACTGGAACCGACTAGGCCGGTCCGCTAACAGTAAACTTAGCTCGGGGATTGAGCTGAACCCGCCCGTGCGTCTTCTTGGATGGCTCTCGCCTTTCTGCGGCTTTCGGCAACATTCGCTACACCGCCATAACCGACACCGCACCAAGGCCTCACCCGCGCGAACCAGATGCCCACCGACACTGTGAGTCGCATCTTCGCGCTGAACACCCCCGAGGCGCGTGACTTCATCACCCCACCCACCTCCGACTTGGCGGCCGGGCGGCAGGCGCTGGAGCTGTACGTGCATGGCCCCGACGCCGGCCCTGGCGACCAGTTCTACGTGCTGATGCCGACGTGGGACGTCCAGCTGACGGTGACGACGCGGCGGGTGGTCTCCTTCAGCCGGCCTGGCGCGGAGTGCCGGCCCGACCCCGACTACAGCACCTACTGGTGCAGCCAGCGCTGCATCAATGGTCGGGCTGCCAACCGGTCTGGTTGCCAGCCCTGGGGACAGGTGAGCCGGTGCCCTTCCCTCCCCTTCGCTCCCGGGCAGGGCAGTGACGCCAGGCCTTGGTGCTGCCGGCAGCCCTGGGGACAGGTGAGCCGGTGCCCTTCCCTCCCCTTCGCCTCCGGGCAGGGCAGTGACGCCAGGCCTTGGTGCTGCCGGCAGCCCTGGGGACAGGTGAGCCGGTGCCCTTCCCTCCCCTTCGCCCCCGGGCAGGGCAGTGACGCCAGGCCTTGGAGCTGCCGGCAGCCCTGGGGACAGGTGAGCCGGTGCCCTTCCCTCCCCTTCGCTTCCGGGCAGGGCAGTGACGCCAGGCCTTGGTGCTGCCGGTCCTGCGTCCAGGTGAGCGCACGTCCTTCCCCGCTTTAGTGCCGGGCGAGTCGGCCACACCCCTTCCGGGGCTGCCAGCCCTGGGGCGCTGCAAAGCCCCCTTCCCCGCTCGTCCTCCCTTTTTCCGGTGGTACATCCACATCCGGGCCAATGCCCACGGTCCGTGGATCGGTTCTGACCACTTCAGGCTGAGATCAACGGCAGGTTTTGGACGGGACGCCAGACGCCGAGACTCTGCGTGTGTATGACGCGCCTCTGTTCGGACGTCTGTCCTGAGGGTCCCACTGCCTCCGAATGCGAGGTTGCCAGGGGCACGCGCTCGCCCTTGTGCTGGCTTCGTTCCGGTCGTCAATCGGGCATTACCTTCGCCAGTACTCCGGCCCCATCGGACCGCGTCGTGACCTCCACACGCCCCTATCGGTTGTGACGTCATCACCCGCGTTATGCGGGGCTCGGTAAGTAACGGACGAGGCTCGCCTGAAAACGGCGGCGGGCCGTCAGCGCATCACGCGGCGGGAGGCGCCTGACCGCGCCGACCGCGCTCCTCAGGTGGCGGACTCGCCGGCGCCGTTCTGCGCGCGCTCCTCCGAGCTGCACCAGTTCTACGTGGACTGGCTGCAGGCCGTAACGGAGCCGTGCCGGCACTGTCCGAAGCAGTGCGCTGTGACGGAGCACGACATCTTCGTCAACGAGCAGTCGGCGTCGCGGATGCCGCGCTACCCGCAGCGAAACATCCGGCTCAAGATCCGCATCGCCAACCGCATGGAGGTGGTGGAGGAGCAGCTGGCCTACACCGCGTCCGACCTGCTGGCCGACATCGGCGGCAACATCGGCCTCCTGCTCGGCTACTCCGGCTTCGCGGTGATCGATCTGGCCTGCCGCCTGGTGGACTGGATGAGCGCGCGGCCGTCTGCGCGCGCCCACACCGTCAGCAAGGTGGCGTTCGTCGAGCAGTAGGCGCGTTCGGGACAAGTTTGCAGACGGGAGCCCTGACGTGGGAGTCTGAACAGGCAGCTGAAGAATGAAACATCAACACGATACACGAACACGATTTCTTTTGGTCGTATTTAACTTATATATACATACATATATTTTTCATTCAAAGTGATAGCATATCTGGTATAGCTGTCCTTTTTAGACAAATATTTAATCATCCGAATTGACTGCTTTCCTTCATCGGAAAAGCTGTTAAGAAGAGTATCTTTATTCTTTGTAACGTTCCATTGGTCCTGCCAATATCATCAGCCAACATAGGCACAACAACACATAACAACAATATGCGAAATGCTCGTGTTCGCGTTGGCTCAAAATTATATTTCTGCATTTCTCTTGCTAAAAAAAGATATTTGGTTTCATGAAAAGCTGCTGTCATCGAGAGTTCATGCGGAAACATCGCAAAATGACGAGCACTGATGAAGTCTTATCTGGCCTTGCCCTCCCCCTTCCTCCTCATTTAAGATATTTTTCTAGGCGCTGGGGGCTGCCCGCCAGACAACCACAGTGTGCCCCGTAAATCCATCTGCCAGTTTATTGCCGCATCCTTGTCCCGGTTAAGCACAGCTTCCAGCACTGTCAGTCTCACTTTTTGTGTGCGCTTAGCCAGTATGGTGGCATTTTCCACTAATTGGCCTCAAGATTGTGCTGTAAATTAGCTAGTGTCAGTGTCAGATAGTGTCGCGCCAGATAGTGCAAGGGAAACCTGCTCCCTCCGCTTCACTTATACATTGAGTTAAACTCATACTTATACTTCATTTATCTTAAGACGCATGATCGAGCAGTGCTGCGAAGTGCACTGACGCTGAGCTTAAGAAGAGGTCTGCTGACAGAAGCGGTGAGTAAGAGAAAGAGCTACTGGGCAAATCAGCCGCCAATTGGAAGAATCGAAGGTTTTATTCCAGGAATTGGATGCAGGAGGAGAGCGTAAGGAGAGAACCAGTGCGAAAGCAGAAGAGCCTGTAGTGCAGCACGAGCAAATAGAGAGCAGACAAGTGCTGCGGAAATTATTATCGATCTATGATGGCCAGGTGGATATCATCGACCCATGTGACAGCTTTGTCAACATATCACATTTTCGTATACGGGTTCAAGATATCTCCTTAACCTCGGGCTTAACTGTAATCATTACTTTAAAAGCAGCTCACAAGAGAAATAAGCTGAGTAAGAGTTACCTTCCCATTAACTATGTTACCACCATAAGGCAGGTAGAATTCGAATGAAGACAAACGAACAGGAGCAGTTGCTATAAGAATACACCAAAGAGAGAGAAAGCACTGGAGGTCGCCTTGTCACCTCGAGGCTCCGCGAGGACAATCCCAGCTTTCTAATGCGTAGGTCTTATGCGTATTGACAAGTCTTCAGTTCTCATGCTACTTGGCAGAGTCGACTGCCTTAGCATAGTGAATACGATACTGCAATACACGTCTTGGTTTTGGAAAGCTAACCAGAATTCATATCGAGAAACAAAGGGAAGATTTTTACAATGTCATCAAAGCTGCTAACTCAGAAAGCGGAGAAGTAGTCTTCAAAGCTGACCAGTAAATACCCCCAGGGCAATTTCTATGGAAATCCAAAAGCACATTAAGAAGGAGCCCTTGTCAGACCGATCATTCCGCGCATCCCCACTTCTGCGCATGAAGTTGCAAAGCATCTTAACTCTCTGACCGTACATACCTAAGAAATTCTCACTGATATCGTTCAACGAACTTTTAGAGGTGTTGCGATTCACAAAAATCAGGGTACCTTAGCATCGCCTTGCACATCGTCACAATTTACGAATGTACCAGCTGACGAAACCATCCCAATAATCCTTGAATATGTTTATCGCACGTGTCTATTCCAACACTGCGATTGCTCAGAGTCACGCTAAAAAACTTCTGCAAATCTGCACTAAAAACACGCTTTTCTGATGCCAAAAGGCGAACTTTATCGTCAAGTCTATGGGGTCGCCATGGGTTCATCACTTGGTGCACTCTTTGCAGAGGCATACATGGCGCGCATCGAGTCGCGTGCTATCAGCAGAATGGAAACGAAACCGTCCGCATGCTGTTGAAATATCGACGAAAATGTCGTCGATATACCAAGCAAGTAGCGGCTTTTCTGCCTTAAGTCATAGCTTCAGGGAATTTGGCTCTAAAAATGACAGTAGATCTATCACTTGGCCACGGATTTCCGTTCTTAGACGTAGCTGTCGATGCCTCTGGTGGAAATGTGTAACTTACGTATTTATAAAGCCCACTGACACTAGCAATTTCCTGAAAGGTCTTAGTGTATATCCAGATAGATGTTAAGAAAACGTGATCTGATCATACAGACACAGGACACTCAAACATTCCGCGACAAGGTCAGCTATACATCAGGAGCTCGATAGAGTTAGGCACATTCTCGTCAACAGCTACTACAGTCTCGCTGATGTAGACAATCAGATTCATCGCCAGCTTCACAAACACTGCTGCTGACACGATGAAGAAATTGAAGGTCAGCTAGCAAGCACTGACGTTGAACTGCATTACCAGAGCAGTATGCCAGCAGCATACAAGGCTGAAGAGCAAGGTATCCGTAATATTGTATCAAGGTTCTGTTTCCCAGTAAATCCCGATGACGAGATCAAGCTCACAATTTACTATATATATATATATATATATATATATATATATATATATATATATATGTAGGCGCCATAGAACAAGGGATGCGTAGGTTTAACCAAAATGGAATGCCTACTTGTTATCTCACGCCTGAGCGAGAGTGCACCGACGATGTCCTGCGCAGCTTTGGCGGATATTGGAGATATCGAGGACGTTTGGAGGAGTAGTGCAACTTGGTCGCTGCCAAGCCATGTCAGGCTATACTGAAAAATACAGAATGATGGCAGTGCTGAAAAATACAATGCGTGCCAATACCACAAAATGTCAAAGTTCTGGCATGGCAACGTCCACTTTTAGTACCAAACTTGTTCACGCTGAGCTCTACGCGGCGTTAATCCCGCACTCGATTGCGGTTTTTCCACATGTACTCAAGAATCAAGGCATCTCCAACTTCTCCCCTGTCTGTTGGTTGTCCACTTCAAGCTGGCCAACTCATGTTGTTCCATACACATTTGTGCTCGTCTGAGGGCGCTGAGATCCAGGTACGCGTAAGGCAGGCATCGCGCAAGTTTTGCGGGTTTCCGAACTAACGGGCGATACGCGTATATCGTGCTGCTTCACACATTCAGTTTGACCTCTCCGAGTTTGAGATTCCTGCACGATTTGTGACGTAGATAACGCCTGCCTTTAACGCATTTGGACCGCTGTCAACTCCGTGTGTGCCGCCATTTGACCTGACTGTGTTTTTAATTTGTTATAATTTTCCTACATGCCGTATTTTGCATACGCCAAATCATCGCAGGACATCCTACTTCCTTTGCAATGTGCACGATATACACTTGTAATAAAAGCACGCTCAGAATGTGACTTTGTCATGGCATAGCCGTGCACGAGGTCTTGCACATCTAAGCGCGATCAGCAGTTCACTTGGCAGTAACGTTCATCGTGCACCGAACTAGCGCCCCAACAGCGCAATCAGTGCTCACGTGAACTGGTCCGACATGGTGTGGCTTCAGCGGTCCGGCTGGCTCCGGTGGACCCAGCCTGGCTATTGACCGGATTATGCTACTGGTCGTCCCGGAACACCACTGATCATCTCAGGATTCGCAACCACTGATCGTCCGGGGATTCACAACCACTGATCGTCCCGGGATTCACAACCACTGATCATCCCGGGGTGCCACTGGTCGTCCGGGGATTTGCAACCACTGATCGTCCCGGGATACCACTGATCGTCCGGGATACCACTGATCATCCCGCGATTCACAACCACTGATCGTCCCGGGATACCACTTATCATCCCGCGATTCACGACCACTGATCGTCGCTGGATGCACCTTCTATAAAAAGTAATCCGATTTTTTTAGAAATTTAGTTGTTTAGGGTCAACGCATTTGCATGCAACCTGTTGGCACGGGTGAAGTTCATCTGCAGTTTTGCAACACCCCGAACTCAAAATTCACGTGCTATTACCTCCGTCGGGCGGGAGCGACGAGCGCTCTCACCGTTCCCACAGGGACGATGGTGAGTACCCCCTCCGCCATTTCTTCCAAAAGGGAGCTAAAACTGCAGAGCAAATAAACACATTGGATAGACTGGCGGCTATGCAATCCGGTTGGTGCTCTTGGGGTCAGTCGCTAAACCCCAGGGTCATCTTAATCTTCGTGGTTGGAACTTGGGGTGGACAGCTTCAAACGGTCTGGGAATAAAACAGCAATTTTCCGGCCAGATAGACATAAAATAGTGGTCTGAATTAGGTCCAGCACAAAAGTTGGCCGAGGAACAATCCGATGTCAATCAAACCAGCAGAGGATCAGTGACCTGGGATGCCTTGGAAATGTCGCTAATATCAAAACTTGCTTATATGCCTGCTGACTATCTATGCATGCCGTTTGCGTACCAGATGTTGCTGCCTCCTGCCAATGAACAGCAAAAGCTAGGATTTGGGTTAAAATGACTGCAAAGTCTCACAAGTGGTGTTATAGTAAGTGACCGCTCATGAACTGGGACCAACGCTCTCTGCGAAGCGCGTGGAATGAATGCACCACCAGTCATTTCGAATTTCATGGGGCTGCATGCGGCCTTTCCATGGCCTTAGAAATGGCGCTCAAAGGGGCATTCACCCATTCACCAGGAGAGGATTCGCAGAGGAAAAGTCAAACATTCCAATTAAAAACAAGCCAGCGAGCGCGATTGTAACCGTTTTTGACATCTCGGCAACTCTGCGATCACCAGGCATCGTCGGTCGCGGCGGGTAAGCCACGAGTAAAGGTCAACACTACAAACGCGCGGCGGTGGGACAGGCACGCTCGTCAAGAGCGCGCTGCCCTCTGGGAGGATCAATGTGACAAGCGAAGGCGTAACGATGGAAAC